GGCTGGTTCTTCTGTGAGAAGTGATCTAGAAAATTGGCCTTGGGACCCAGAGAAGGACAAGGAAGGCTGCCATCTGCTCAGGGCTCTGCACAGGGAATGACAGCTTCCTGGAAAGAGTCAACGCCCCTGGTTTTTACACAACTGCCAGGAGCAGGAAAACCAAGCTGAGAAATGAACACCCACCCTGTCTAAGACTGGCGGGATCCCTGGATCCTGGCAGAGTCAAACCAGAAAGTCTTTTAGGGATCCTTCCACCAGCCAGGGAGCAGAGAACTCTCTGGGAAAAAACACTCTGACCCATATGAACTTAAAAAAACCCCACAACCCAGAGAAGAAAATGAACGAATTTGGTCACGCGGCAAGTGTCTTAATACTGGCTAAGGAGCTCCCATCTATTTCCCACACTGCAAAGTGAGCCTTCTGAAACACTGTGGATCACTGTGCTAAAGGGAGATGGCTCCGGGGACCACAGTGTTTCGTCACCTACAAAGTCCTGCATCAATAGGCCCAAGTTTCTTGCCGCTTACCCCACACGCTCTGCTCAAGACACATGGGTCCCCTTGCTGTTCCTCAAAAGCCTTGCTATGGGTTCCCTACCCCGCTCGCACTCTGTCTCTCTCAAAAAAAATAAACATTAAAAAAAAATTTTTTTTTAAATGGGGGTGCCTGGGTGGCTCAGTCAGTTGAGCGTCTGACTTCAGCTCAGGTCATGATCTCACAGCTTGTGGGTTTGAGCCCCACATTGGGCTCTGTGCTGACAGCTCAGGACCTGGAGCCTGCTTCAGATTCTGTGTCTCCCTCTCTCTCTCTCTCTGCCCCTCCTCCGCTCACACTCTGTCTCTCTGTCTCTCTCTGTCTCTCTCAAAAAATAAACATTAAAAAAAAATAAAAATAATAAAAGCCTTGCTATGGGTTGTGTCCCCTACAAAGATATGTAGAAACCCTCACCTCTGCTACTTGCAAACGTGACCTTATTTGGAAATAGGATCTTTGCAGATGTAATTAATTTAAGATGAGGTCAATAAGCTAGGTCCCTAGGGTAGGCCAGTATTCAACAAAACCCCGATATGACTGGTGTCCTTATGGTTATGAAAGGACAGCCACAGAGAAAGTCCAGTGACGATGGAGGCAGAGACGGAGCGATGCAGCTACGGACCAAGTACGGCTGAGGATTGCTGGCCATCCCGGCAGCTGGGAAAAACAGGGAAGGATTCTCCTCTACATATTTAAGAGGGAGCACGGTCCTGTTGGCACCTTGCTTATGGACTTCTAAGCCTTCAGGGCTGTGCATTTCTGTTGTCTTCAGCCACCTGGTTTGTGGTATTTTTGTCCCAGCAGCCCCAGGAAACTAATGTAAGCTTCAAATGTGTTCCCGCCTCGCTGGTCCCTCTGCTTGCAAAGCCCTTCGGCAGAGAGCCCCCTCGCTCTCCATGGGTCCCCGCTCAAATGCCACCTTTGCAGAGAGGCTATGTCCAGCTGCACCACTGAAACTAGCGCTTCCTGCCTCTCTCCACTCCTTTGCCTTTTTCACTTTTCTTCATGGTCCCTAGTCACACCCGACATTATATTGTGTATCTTTCACTTATTGTCTTCCTTGCCGTCAAGAATGTAAGTTCCAGGGCGGGGGCTTGGAGGACTCAGTCGGTTAAGCGTCTGACTCTTGATTTCGGCCCAGGTCATGATCTCACGGTTCGTGGGTTGGAGTCCTGCATTAGGTTCTGCGCTGACCGTGCGGAGCCTGCTTGGGCTTCTGTCTCTCCCTTTCTCTGGCCCTCCCCCGCTCTCTCAAAAATAAATAAATAAACCTAAAAAGAAAAAAAAGAGCCTAAGATCCATGAAAGTCGAAAACAGTCTGGTTCATTGCTGCAAACCCAGTGCCTACTATGTACCTGACATAGGTAGGCTCTCCATGCTATTTGCTTCATAAATGAATGAGTTCCTTGAGAGTACATTTTGCTGTTTACTTTTTTATCCTTCCCATTGCCTGATACATGCTTTGCTTATCGTGGACTCTCAGTAAATATGTATAGATGGACTAATAAATCCCTCATCACTCGTGGCTTAAGGCTCTGTGTGGTTAAGAGAGGAAGTCAAAATGCACACCACATTGGCCTGGATTTGGTGGCCTCTTTGCTGTAAAACAATTGTGGGGACAATCGATCAGATTTCTCTGAGTGATCATTACAGCTCACCATTTGTCTGCCTCACGCAGCCACGGTTTCTCTTGTGCTGCACACCACCCCTTCTTGCCCTGTTGTTTTTCTGATTAAGGAGACAGAATTGAGTAATCTAAATTTGGTGTGTGTAGCTCAGAGGTGCCAATCATGAAAAATAATGAATTAGGTGATCCCCCTGCCCTTCCCTGAAGCATTGAGCTGAAACCAACAAGTTCATTTTATTTAGGACCAAAGGCTGAACTCAGAGGGCTGTCTGTGACAGGAGAGTGCTTTTTTTTCACTAATTAAGTCACCCAGTTTCAGACAACCTTTCTCCTGTGCGGTGGGGGTGCAGCTTATCGAGTTGACCCTGAGACTGTGCCTTTGGCCTTCTGTTTGCTAAGACAAGTGGTATATACCTTTGTTACAAATACGTAAGCCAGAAAAAAATGCATTTATATGTACATATGCACACACATGCACACACACACACAAATCTCTTATTGTTTTATAAATTTGCTTAGCTGTTTAAGGGGTTTTCTGGTTTCCTTAGTAAACCCACATTTAGAATTTCTGGGTGAAGGGCTGTGTTTTCTAATCAGTTTTGGAAACGACCAGTACAAAATGCATTTTATCCGCTTTCATTTCATAAAAACATAAAAATGCACTTGTTGGGAAGCTATTATATTTGATATTTGTGAGAAATAAGCCAGAGATTAGAAATAACAGTTTTTATGATACTCTCTGTTCCGGAAAAATAATGAAGTTCTGTTTCCACCTATAACCTATGAGTCTTAATATGTGCATCGGAGGGTTTTGTACATGAGGGATTTTGAATTTTTTTTTCAAGTGAGTAAAAATGAAAATATATGAATAAAATTTATGCGACTACTAATTCATTTTTAAAAATGTTATTATGTTGATATATTTCATAAAGCATGTGTTGCTGGTTCCTGGGCAGATACCCGTCCTAGCTGTTGATTATGTGAGATTTGGCACCTTTGTGCATTGTCACTAATCATCAGCATTTCTCTAGGAGGGGCCAGAAGCCCCTTGTTATCTCCACCTAGCAGAAGGGGCACAGCCCTGGGGAGGCAGGGGTGACTTATCCAGAGCCTTCCAGACTAGCTAAGAGCCTATCCAGCTCAAACATCTAAAACCCTTAGTTAGCCTTTCCCAGTTCTCAGGACTTGTCTACACTTCATCCAGCACAGCATTTCAAAATGTAGAGGCTTTCTGTGCAGCTTACTTAAAAGAAATGTGTTTAAGCTTTAGGTAGAGAAGTACATTATGAAGATCACCTCCAAAGGGCAAATTAAATGCATATAATTTTCATTATGAACGTAGAGAGTTAGCAGAATATGTAGGAGAGTAGTTTAGCACTTGGGGCAAGTTTTACTGTCCATTTCTCAGGGGGCATCTGCTTGGATCTGAAGATCATGTAGGTAAAATATGAAAGGCACTTAATTTGATGTTTTATATTTGGCTTATAACCATAAGGAGGACCAACTTTAATAATAAACTAACCAGGAACAAATTTTAGCTACAGAAAAGTGGTTTTCAACTCAGACTCCATCGTCCCAAAATATTCCACATAGCTTGCCCCCCCTACTTCCTTCAGGCCTTTGTCCAGATGTCAGTGAGAATTTCTCTGACCTATCTATTTCAGATTGCAGTAGAGTCTCCCCTTCTCCATCTCCCTTATATTACTTCCTTCTTTTTTTTTTTAATTTTTTTTTTAACGTTTATTTATTTT